AGAACTCACAGCGACAATGAAACCACTTGGACTAAAAAGTATTAAGTTTAGACGTTTTTTTTGCAAACGGCAATTCAACTCATGCACATTTATTCAGTCACGCTGTTACTAGTTTAAAATAAATTATAAGCACTTCCTTACTAGTTAGAGGAGCATGTCGAGCGAGAAAGAGAGAGTGTGTGTGTCTGTAATTGATTATCTGAGTTTCATATTGCGTTATGATCCAGGGTAGCTTACTCATTAGAATGACTTATTACGGTCTGGACGACCTGGGTTCTATCACCGACAGCTCTGCCTCTAGACCGGCTCTGGAGCCCAACTAGCCTCCATCCAATAAGTGTTAAATGTTCCTTCTCATTGGATAAAGAGCGGTCTGGGAATGACGCTGACCACTTACTTCCATTTAGTAACGTGATCCTCCCCCAAGTGCCTCAGTGGCGTGTAGCTGCGCAGATTTACTCGTTTTACCATGTAATTTAATAAAGAATATTTATATCCGAGAAACATATCAGTGAAGACGTGAACTGTCTAAAAGACTGTTTAATTTTCCATAGCCCACTAAGTACATGTACTTTTACATAACGCACAAAAACATATTTTTAACTACTAAGGCGAAATTTTTCAGTTTTCATTTCTCCGGTCACATGCGTGACGTGAGCTTTCGAATGAGGTGTGGTACATCCCCGTATGTGCTATCTTTCATTCGCTCGCAGTTTTTGCACCATTCAGAATTAAATATATAGACTACAAGTTATATCTTTGTTTCCTGACATATGTTAGGTGTACATTTATACGTTTTCTGTTCCGAACAAGTTAAAGTTCACAGATCAAGTAAAGGGATGGCTATTCTTTTTTTTCTCGATCCTGCTGACTCTCCTTCCAGTAATCCTTGAGCCGGTGGCGGCCAGTTCTGCCCCAAACTGCAACATTTACTCTGATTAACTCATGGCTCAAATCCATGTCTATCATTGCCTTTTATGACGGAAAATAAAAAGCACTGTCACCAACTTTATAGCAGTGTCGTCAGATATTTGTAGTCCCTATAGATATATGTAATGAAATCACAACAAGTAATATCATTGATAATCGGACCCAAAATTATTTTCTTATCATTTTCTGGATTTATTAGTATTTCATGGTCATTCCCAATGGACTTTGCATTCTGTTCCTGTTTCCTTGGCTTTATAGTTGCTGATTAAAAAAATTGTCCTGATGAGTCCATGAGAACATTAATAACGTATATAGGGCACATGAACGGTTTACCGCGCCAATATAAAAATTAAAAAATGTATTGAATATAGAGAATAACGATTCTTAAATTGGGACATAAATTTTATTTTAATGTTTGTATTAAGAACATTTCTTTACAGAGTGACTCACATTTATAATTGATTTTCGAAATGTACGCCTCGCTGATACGTTACTGTATACGCTCCAATATGTCGACAGACAGCAGCATATTGAGTCGATACTCGTGGGTGAGCCTGCATATACGTTTTCCTTCAAGTGCCTGCACAGAAATTTTCCATCCTAGTAGGTATGTCATTTTTGGATATTCTCCCATAGTACGGTGCGACTCCATCGTGTTGGAATCATAATTTCTGCCGCGGGGCGAGGGTCATATCTTCAACAATTCCCAGCACAACTTTTTGAAGAGCTGCTCAGTAAAGTTAATCACAGTTGTCGGCACGAGATTGTCCCCCATAAAGCAGCCCACACGTTTACGCTAAAGCGGACTTGATATCCACGTGCTTGTTAGCGGGAGGATTAACCCGTGATCAGAGTTGACTATTGAATACGTCCAAGACTCACTCGCACGCAAAATATGCTTCGTCCGTCCGATAAATGTTATTTTCGCAGAGCGTGTAGGCAGCTTGTTGCTGTTGCAGTCATTCATAGATTGTTTCCTGAAAACTGATCGTTCTGGAAAAGTGGCATGCATGTATATCATCATGAAATGCAAAGTTTGGGTCAATCTCAATTCACTATCGATAGCGTGTGAGCTTCTCGAATATTCTCGTTCCACACCAGCAGTTATGTCACCTTCAGTGGCTGGTGTTCGTACATTCCTTGGAAAATCTGGGACACGTTCTTGATGACGTGTAAGACTTCTTCTCTCCCGAAGACGATGCTCTAATATGTAAAAACAATTAGCGTCTGGATGACGTAGTCCAGGACAATGTTGAGTGTTTTGCAGACCAGGTCGCCTATTACACGTATCCAGGGTTTAGGAGCGGTAGTTGTGTGCGCATTCCACGATTTTAACCAATATTAAGCCTTAATTGTGCACCTCATTTGACAGTGACATATTTATCAAAACTACACATTAGGTTCGCTTATTGTTTAATATTTACTGTTGCGTGTCTGTGTGTAAGAAATTCCAATATAGAAAATTGGTGTACAAATTTTTATTGACCTTTATTACAAGTAAACCATTAAACGAAAGTAAGTTTTGCTTTAATGACGTAAAATCTTATTAATGTAATACAACGTGAAATGTAATAACACTAACACCTCAAAAAGAATATCTCGCCCTATTCATTTAGTCACTTTTGTTGTATGCGTGTGCCGTATTTCATCGTTAGCATCACTGAAGATCTAGTACGATGTATATATTCGATTTCTAAAATTTTCTAGGCTCGTTGTCAGAGATTGTCACTCTGAATAAGTCGCGCCAGAACTGAGTAAAATCCTTCCAATATAACGTTTACAGCGATCCGCTGTTTCAGATGTCATTATTCTCGACATGACAATATTACTTTAACGCGGACAGCGTAATGATGGATCAAACACGCCGTATATTATGAGAAGCATGTTGCTGCCTACAGTATATTCTTCTTATCGTGTCCTATTCAAATTGAATTCTTAGGTATGACGTGTTTTTGCCCATGTGGTCTTGACAGCTGCTAATTATTGTGGAAACTGCCCAGTAGGTAAGTTTCTTAAGCGTCACAAGAATGTTCTCTCTTATCAGTTTATTTAAAACCGTAAAATTTTGTTTAGAAATTTAGTGTGATATTTAGAATGAAAATAAGATTTGCATGCATTAGGACTGAGATACATGACAATAACAATGGTTATAGGAGGTCTCTGAAATCCCAAAAGTACATACTGTATGTTAATACAGTGGATTCTGGTTAATTGGGACACATCGGGACTAGAAAACTTTGGTCCAATTAAGCGGCTGCCCCATTTATGCGAAGTTCCACGTGAAGAGTTAAAAAGGTTTGTTCTTTAAGATTTATCCAATTAAACGGGTGCCTTGATTAATCGATGACCCAATTAACCGGAATGTACTGTATAGAATTAACTGTATATTTATTAAACAAAGAATGTTTAATATCGTGTTACGGAAGTAAAAACATACTTTAACTGAAATATTCCGCTTCAACATTAACTGTATCTGGCAGGATAATTTTAGTATCCACAATAACTCTGGAATTTGTCTTTGGACGAACATTATTGTAGCAAATGCAAAGTAGAAAGTCGTCTTATAAAATACAATTGAAAAATATTTTAATAGATTACAGCAGAAGTTACAAAATGAGAAAAACTATATAAATTCTCGTCTCTCCATTTAGACATGAATACCAAAATAATGAATAAAAAATAATACTGGACAGAACTCATAGTGTCTCTTATTCTTCTAAAGTTTACATGTATGTGAATAGGCCTTGAATTTTTTTATTTATAAAATACACAATAAAGTATTACAGAATTTCTTAACATATTTTCTAACAGTATAAATTTCATCGAATAAAAAGCTAAGACATGATCTCAACATTCTTCCCCTTCACCATGTCTGTCATTTTAACTTAAGAAAAACCAATGTTTGTTTATAATTGCTGAATCTCAGTCTTGTTATTTGAAGATAGCTTCATATTATCTTCCTTTCTTGTATCAAGCACAGCTATGTCCATCCTGGTATCATGAGTGGACGTCCATGTAATGAACTGCAGTGTTCATGGCTGACATGCTTTCATCTCCTCAGCTCTATTTTTGAAACAGATTTCGGTTGAAAATGACTACCCTGAATTAGGTTCCTAGGTTTTATTCAGCCCCCTAAATAACAATAAGCAGTATCTAAAAATCCTAACCTACTTACAATTCATTGTCATTTTTATTTTAAACAGCCGTATTAAATAGCATAAGAATCAATTATAGATCAGATTATTTTTCTAAGGTCCCAATGATCCCACCTGCGTCTTCCTCATCAAATTGTTCTCCGCCGTAATTCGGAATACGTTTTTCCTATTATGCGTGCTACATTCACAGTCCATCTAAATGGGTCACATGGTGAAAATATTTTAGAAAACTCTGCTAAATACTTGGTGTCGGACTTACAGCAGTTGAGCTACGGCGTAAAATCCTGTAACATTGTAATCTGATAGCTGTCGGTCTCTCGGCACGACAAACCATCGCTCTCTCGTTCTTATATGCGAAACCTAGGACAGTCAATGAACAAGAATTTCCTTCCTTTCAGTCAATGTAATTGTTTAGTAATGCTGATCTCATTGCGGGGGACTTGCAGTTTAACTAACATTTCATTTTCGTAGATCAGGGACGTTAATTTTGTTATATCTGTTAATTGAATATCGATCTTAAGCACTTCTCAGATTTAATACAGAACAAATCAGAGCTAATCTTGGGTCCGATTATAACAATCCGACCTACACTAAAGTATTAGGTTAGTTTCATATATCAGTATATTTTTATATATATTTTGTTATCACACAGTATCAGTCATTGACGATGGAATACTATAAACAGTCCGAAACACTGGAGTTTTGACGGAATATACACTCAGTCTCCAGTCCCCGCAAGAAATACATATTCCATATCTTTAGAAAAAATATTTTATTTAAATTTTCAATGTTTCACGACCTCATTAAATTGTCAGAGAAGCTACTTAATATCGTCCAAATATACAGACGTCTCTGAGCAATCCAAGTGTGCCACTAGGTTTAAGAGCCGAATTATCAGTCCTGAAAGTGAGTGACGTCTTGTGCATAGTAAGGATCTAGGGATCCAATGTGGCCTCATGTGCGTCTTGGCTGCTTGGTTAAAATCTGCGACGTAAAAGGACGTGCATAAATATAAGTGCCGAGTCCTGTCAAACTGTTTATAAATTATTCAGTACATTGCGACAGGAATATCGATCAAAAACGTTTCTTTCATACACAACATGAAGAAGAGAATTTTATCTGTCAACATCCATTTTACTAAGAGACCGAGATAATAATGTTTTGATTCTTAGTACAAGCTCAGTTCGTGTGAATATGTCTAATGCTCCTTGTGCGGATTCAGTTTAAAATAATGTTTGGTTTATTTAAAGACTAATTATCCTTAAACAAAATAATGTTTAGATACTATTGGCTGTAGTTAAAATTAAAACCAAAAACAAGATTAGAATACTTCACAAATAAATCTGACAACAATAATCTTATACGCCTTTTCAAAATGAGAGAAATATTTCATGTCTTTCATCAACTTCAGTCGCCGCGTAAGCTTCACTTTATAAAAATACTTCATGTATTTACAGATATACTTCCTTCGGCATCTTTAAGAGACGTATTAACGACAGACCCCATTCTACGGTGTGCATAATAAGTAATGTAAATAAGTATCCTTGTAGCTGGGTACTAAAAACACAAATGTGACGTAAGTGATAATCTAATTTTACCCAATATTTGCACTTACATTTGTTAAAGTATTTAATTACGTTATTTCATCTCGATTTTAACTAATTTATAAAGTTGGATTTTTTAATGTTTAATAGTTATTAGTATCCTTCATGTAAGATAATACCACCTGATGATGGTCCGTAGTTGACCAAAACATATAGTGGATGAAATGAAAATTGAAAGTAAACAAAGATTGTTGTGTAAACGGATCTTAAGTTACAATTTCGTAAATGAGGTGCAAGTTAATTGGGCCCCTTATTACCATGGTACTGTACGTTCTCATGTTGCAGACGGTGGAGATGGTCTCCATGTGCGGGGAACAGCAAATATATCTATTACGCAGTCGCGGATAGGCGGCAAGGGTTGGTCCTCCACCAGGGGGTTTGGTGATGAATAACAGCCTGTCAATGTAAAGAAAGAAACTAGTAAGCTCACGTGATGAAGTGCAGTTTTGTGCGTTTGCTCTGGGTTCATCTAGATATTGCTCTGGCCACGATAATGAAAGCCGTGTTCCGTTTCATGGAGTTCTTATTATAGTTCTGTCTATGGTACACGATTTTCCTTCATCAGTTAACAGTTGAAAAGCGGGGCAGGAATTTTCAGCTTTCATGTAATACGAAGGTTCAACTCCGTGTATACAAACGCCAACCAATCAACTCTGTACTGCTGTGGAATTGGAGGTTACATTTTCCGAAACCATTTCTCTGAGATATGTTGCAATATTATCCTACCATCCCATAATTTCAATCAAGATTTTGCTCGTTTCTCATTTCCTGTAAGTGTGCTACATGCCCTAAATTATGATAGTGATTACCCTTGCAACAGAAATGATAACAGATAATATAACAAGAAGTTACATACCTAACATTAGCTATTTAATAGCTGTGCAGATACAGAATGTTTAAATTTATGGTGGATCAAAACATATTTTTTTCAAAATATAGGTAATTACAGCTATGAAAGTACAAATCAGCAATCAGAAACATTAAGCCCGTGCGAATTGCATGCTAAAAAACAATCAAGTCGCAGATAATTAAGGAAAATAGTAGAGAAATAACATTGGATTCGGTAAGTAGTGGACTCAAATTTGGCCCACGTTACGTTCATTTTGACTGCCGTTAACAGAGTTCTGAATTTATTATTCACTAATGATCCGACCATTGAACTGTACACAATATAATCTAAGTTATTGTTAAGTAAACCAAGAATGAATAAATAAGTAAAGTATATAACTTACGGTTTTTTGTTCTATCTTCAACACTGTGTATGAAAACGACAAAATTAATAATATTATAATGCGAGTAATAATATTACTCGCATTATAATTGTATCTATAAGTCAACATGAGTTTATATAGTTTACATATAATACAATTACTTTAAAATTCTCTTGTACAAACGCCCAAATCCGATTAAATTCACAGCCCTTATACATCTGTTTTTGTCAACGCTAATTTCCTAACATACAAGAATCCCCACCCTTATATTGCCTTTATTTTATTATCCCATTTATATCTAATCTTTAACAAGTGTTTTCCCATCTTCCTCTCCCCAAAGTTATCCTCATCCCGTTTTAAACCATTCTAACCAATTTCGTGTATAGCAGACTTCAATATGAACTAATTTACCTGAAAATGTGGCCTTGAGATGTTATCTTAACTCACATGAATGCAACTGTGTAATAACAGTTGTTGATATAAGTGTACTTATTACAGCGCTTTCCAACAGCTCTAGTCTACAATAGACAAGAACTTAATTCAGTTCCATAATTCAATTTCCTATTTTAACGCGCTGGCGGAACGGCTATAGGAGCCACTTACACAGTCAGCACAAGAAGGTAAATTAAATACAAAGGGCCAATTTTTTATTCACTTTCATACCCGAGCTACACTTGTCTTCCGTGGTCAAGGTTCTACCATGTCCGACTGGTTCCTGTATTTTATTATATCTGAGACCGATTCCTCGCTAGCGGCTTACATATTGAAAGTGGCTGTCTTCTGGGTTGTTGCGCCGTGTAGTCTGGTAGACGTTTACCGACGTTCCAGAGGTCTTTGCTGTCTCCAACATCAGGAGGATGAGTAACTCGCCAACTTCATACTCACCGCCTTGAGAACCACAAATCCTACGGCTTACTTATTGCCCTGATAATGGATGCAGAAAGAGCTTCTGAAATGTCGGTATACTTCTACCAAATAACACGGAGCAGAAACCCATAAAACAATCATATCCTCCCTTTATCAATATTTTCGCAACGGTATTATCGTTCTGTGCGCGCATGTTAACTTATTACATTTATTTTGTTTGTTGTTTAAAAGTTTCTAAATGAAAAGTTGTATACAACTTGGTTATAATAGACAATGAAATATTTCAAAAATATTGATTGTGCTCGAATATATCATGTGTCACAAATTTCAATAGTTCATTTTTTGTTTTTTTGGTTTGGTGCTTAAGTGTTCTTTGTGTTTTGGGAGATGCCTATTATAAATTTATAAACTTTTTAAAAAGAAAGAAAGAAAGAAAGAAATTCACATAAATCATCTAGGACAAACGAACGTGAGGGATCACTAAACAAAAAACCAAATGGAGTAGCTCACGTTTATGTAGGCCAGGACTCAAGAACACTTGTTTAGGTCTTCATGAAGACACTGAAGGAATATTTCGTCACTAAACATAAGAACAAATAGAGAACACATGTTCGAAATTAACTGTGATTTTACACGAAAAGTAAAGAGCCGTGTAGTAGTCTCATACGTCATGATTATCATGCCAAGTTCAATGAAAATCTGTAAGTTAGTCCACTATAAAGGCATGTCAGTACGCGCAAAATAAATCTCCAGGCTTTCTTACGTATAATAGAGGTCAGTTGACATTTTGATGATCCACCAGTCAAGCCCCTAATAAGAATTCTTGTACCCGGTAAGTACAAGTAGACAGTTGGATGGAACCCAGATTCATTCTTAAGTTTGTTGTCCATCCTTGGGATCGAAATCTCGTCGTTGAATTCGTAGATAATCCTTTTACTCATTATTTTTCTAGTCTCATGTTTCCTATCACTCAATTACTGCGGATAGTTTTACAGAATACAATATCATATTTCCCAAAAATTGGGCTTGTTATATCATACTTACAGATTCAGTTACAAGATAATGTTACAGACATTAATCACTGAATGAGATGTTCAATGAAGCAGTATGACATGTAATCAAACTTTCTATTGCAGGATTTATATAAATCGCTGTACGGAACAGGAAGACAATCAGTAAAATCAGTTTAGTTTGGGATAGATTAATCTTCATTAATCAAGTGATATTCAACTAATGAAATCATGAACAAATGTTTACAAGTTTCTAATAGTTCTTTGACCGACATTAAATCTTTTGAAAGCGAAATTACTTTATAACAGCCCAGTAGTTAACTAATGTAAAACGATGCGAAATTTATGAGAATTACACTTAGCATTCATTTTACAGAAGTAGGTTGAAGACTCGTTTATACCACAACACCTCGTACAGCCGACACCAAAATGTGTCCACTTTAATTAAAGAAGGAATGAAAAATTAAACAAACCAGCCATCAAACTAAGTGAAAGAGAATTAGAAATTGGATAAAACAAAAGAACAAATGACTTAAAAATAAGAAAATAACTGTCGATCGATGACATCACAAACACTCATATCTCTAATGCTGTGTAATGGTCTGGGTGTAATGAATTTCATTATTATTATAATGGATTCCTGTTATGACTCTAAAACCTGGTTCTGAACAAACAACAGTACCGTCTTTCATTTGCACTGCGCCCCATTTTTTTACTTATTAGTAAATAATACAAAAGTGGCAACCATGCGAAATTCGGAACACACACAGTTTAATATTTGCTAATATACCTTCAAAGAATAAGCATAATTTGGCCAGTCGTATTTGTTAGTCGGGTTGATATCAGTGCATTCGTGAATTTATCTTTCCGTTTTAAACAATTAAATTAATAAAGAGTGGAGAATTACGCGCGGGTCTGTAACATTTAGCACACAATTCAACTGTAAACTAAACTACAAATTATGAATGTTTCTTCCTCTTTTGCATGTGCGATGTATGTCTACAGAGCAAACTAAAATCTCGCTGCCGGGTGATAAGACTAGCGCTCCTACTTCGCATTTTGGGTGTCTCAGAGACTACTTTGTGGTTTATCCTTGTCCCTTCATCCAAGAGTCGGTAAAGTACCTTAAATCAGACCACTATCTTTTCCTTCCATATCCTTCCCAATTCGTGATTTATCCTGCCATTAGACGAAATATAGTTTGAGTTCCTAAAAGCGTCGTTCAATGAATTAATAAATAAGATTTAGAAGTTTGGCAGCATCAAGGTAATTAAAATAAAGTTTTCTTTTAATAACATGGTCTTTCTGTCACACTCTTAAAATGGGCCGACGCATTTCAAGCAAAATAAGGGCAAGGCTATTTCTAAGCACCAAAAACCCACGCTATGAAGGGGTTTTAGGACAGTGGAGGTTAAACTACAATCATTCTAGATCTCGAAGTGCATGTTGAGCTTTTGTATCTTAAACCCTGTACCCATGGCAACTTGCTCCAGTAACTTCTGTTATTAGAGACCCACGAATAGTTAACTTAAACTAATGCGAGATGGCTGAACACTCCTTTTATCCATCCTCTGTAACAAAATATTTCTGGACTAACGGGATCAGTGTTCTAAGTGAGACATCGTGCGTGACATGTGAGGGTTAGACAGAATCTCAATGATGAGGAGTCCAGGGCTCGTTTGGCAGGCAGTGGAGCGAGAACTACGAACAGATACTTCAAAGCTTGAAGTCAGGACACACGATAGGCGACATTGTGCATTGTCCCCTTTTGTTTCTTTCTGGTGACATCATTCCCCCGTTACTCGACCGTACTCATACTCTGCCACCCTCTAATGGGTCTCAAGCAACATCACGGTGAGGTCTGACGAGCTGACAGCGGGTATTGTCAACAACATGTCTTCTTGTCTTCTCCTTCTGCTTCTTCACAAAGGTTTCAATGTTTGAAGGTTTCTAAGAAACACCTGAGAACTGTCGTTTGACCACTCCTTGTAACTTGGGCACTTCTTTTGTGTGAATTCGCTGACATAATACTTGCACCTAGAAAATTGATTGAAGTGAAAACCTGAGAGCAACAGTAGGCTAACCCCAAGGTTATAAATTCTGTGTTAATTACTGTTACCTTGTTTGGTATCACTAAGTAATGTGTGGTTTGATGTAGTTGTGCCTTCTGACACCTACAAAGCAGAATTATACAGACAATACTTAACTTCATCTCATCTTCTCTCATATATTAATTAAGTCTGTACTAGTTCACTGTTGGTCCTAACTAACTCAATCCCTGGTATCAGAACCCGCAGGCTCAACACCAACAACACCAAATCCTGCCACCGGCCACGATCCACAGCAAACTACATCCATTTGCCATCTTCACACCCCAACTTACTGAGATACATCTTGATATCCTCCCGTGTGCTTCTTGGTCTTCCCAGTGGTCATTTTTCAGTATTCCCCACCACCCCTTGACTCAAATCCCCATGCCGCGTTACATGACCATCCCATCGGAGTCTCCTAGATATCATTTTCTTCACTGTGCTAGCTGACCCGTACAATTGACGCAGCTCCTCGTCACGTAATATTCTAAATTTCTCACTTATTTCATCCCTCCTTGGTCCAGATATCCTCCTGAGCAACTTGTTTTCCAATTTTTGTCATTTGCGTTCTTCCTTCAAGGTAAGAGATCATGTTTCACAACCATACAAGACAACCGGCAAAATTATTGTTTTTATATATCCTGATCTTCAGTGTTTTGAGTAGTAAAAGAGATTATTACAGTTTTTGAACTGAATAAAAACAAGCGTTCCCCGGTTGCATTCTGCTCTTAACTTCATCATTGACCTTATTTCTATTTGTTATTGATGTTACCAGATACTTAGGTATTAAAACATTTTTAAATGATGTGTTACTTATAAATATGTTCTGGCGTTGTTGCTGATGTTAATTCCGTTTTATGCCCATGTATTTAGTTTTGTCTACATCTACTTCTAGGCCTAGTTATTCATATTTTAAAACGTATGCCTCGAAATGTTTACGAGAGAGAGAGAGAGAGAGAGAGTTATTCATAATTCACTGACACATTAAAGAAAATCGCCAGATTTGAATGGTGCAAAAGATGGTAACATGCGACATGCCGATAGAGAGAGAAACTCTCCAAGTTTATTTTACATACCTTTTAAATTTTCTATGACTATGCGCTGCTTCGTTGGCCACTCCGATCACCTGACCTGACGCCACGTGATTTTTATTGTGGGGATACGTTAAGGACCAGGTCATTGTACCGCTTCTGCCAACGGATCTGCCTGAGTTGCGAAGACAAATCATCGCTGCCATCTCATAAATCGATCGTGACATGCTGCAGCGGATGTCGGTGGAAATGGATTATCGGCTTGACATCTCCCGCTTCACAAAGGGCGGGCACATAGAGCATTTATGAGGTATGTAAAATAAACTTGGAGAGTTTCTCTTTCTATCGGCATGTCCTATGTTTCTATCCATTGCACCATTCAAGTCTAACGATTTTTTGTAATGTGTCAGGGAATTTTGAATAACCCTGTATATATAGTTTTTATGTTATTCTATGACAATTTACTTCCTTCTTTAACACAAAACTGTATTATTCTTTGATTATTTGCGTCTAAGTACAAAACCGGTGTTATTGGTTGATTGCAAAGTGGAATAAATCACTCGGTCTCTGTTTACTTCAGTTGTTTCCAAACAGCGTGCCTCGAGTTTGACGATAGAATGAAGTGGAAATTAACCGAAAGTGTGTTCATTTTATTTTGTAATAAATATGAGCGAAGTCAGTTCATAATTTATGGTAAATCCATGTACAAAGTCGTAGGACTATGACGCTGAGTCTCTCTCATTACCAGCGTAGCC